AAGATACTTCACAGATGTAGTCACTAAGCTGATGACCGACCGAGAGCGAGGATTCTGTTCAAATAGAGCTTAGCGCGAAAGCACATCTTTCCACTCAATAACAGTTTTTCTTACCATCCTCTCAAGGGTCATTTTACTGAACTTATCCAACTGAACCAGATATAGCTACGGTTAAGACGCGAACTTACTGGCGGAAAGGTTCGTGGTTTGAACCCAGCCCTGGAATCTCGAATGCTCCTGCCACCCTGCATTTTTCAGCCCTCGTGCTCCCTTCGGATAGTGTGGAAACCAGGCACCGAAAAAGCGTTCGAGTTGGACGATTGTTTTATTATTATTATCATTCACACAGATACTGCAACCAATGACAATACCGTTAAGTTACACTTCTTTAGCTGGACTTGGGGCATACACGTAGGTGCCAACAGTTATCACATACAGCAGTCTAAAAAGCTGCTATTTTCCGACGATATAGTCATCCGGTCAGTAGAACATGGCTCGCACAAGAAAATCCTTACATTTTTGGAAAAGAATCGAGTGATCAAACTCAGCTAGAAGGATCAAGTTTGTGATGCAATTTTCTGGACATTGGGTGCCAGTCAAAGCCATGTTTAAGGATAAAGCGGACGACAATGTGCAGTAGAGATCGATAAATCACTTTCCAGCACCATAGCACTCAGACATTAATGCCTACAAGTTGAAGTGAACATGTGACTCTAAGAATAGATGCATTTTAAACCGTACGTGAGGTTCCACTTGACAGAATGATCTGCCGAAGCAGCTTTTCGTGGATTCCGTACCGTTTAGACGTATAAGGAAAGAAATCTTCTGACCAACATTCTTACATAACATCTTTCTCGGATGAATAGTTTTCTGCAAAGTGGCCCAGAATCCTGGTAACAAAAAATGAATCTTTCACTCTTAGTTTTTCGGTCAGGAACATGAGAATACCGTAATCGAAGATCCAGCAGTTATCTTGCCTCCAACAAATGGATAGTTTCTTCCTGATAGTGTGACAATGTGAGTCTATGCAATCAGTAACGACACATGAACTAAATCCCAGCATAAATGCAACTTCGCAAAAACAGTGCCGGAATCTTGGACGATCAACGAACCTGATCGACAAACTGAGGCTTAAAAAGGTTTTTGGCAGCCCAGGGTACCTACCCACGCCCAAAACAAAACAGGACATTTTTTTGCAGTTGAGCAAATCTTTATGCGGTAATCTCATGGAAAATGCAACACCATTGTTTCGTCGGTTTATCACTCTTTTACGTGGCTGTTCCCAACCTCATCTAAGTATCCGGTCAACCACTGTAAAGCAGGCACGTTACGTCTGTCCAAAAGTTCAAAGAGGGTTAAAAACAACAAGCAAAGGTTTAACAACCCAGACAACGACGCTCCACCGAAGTGAAAAGGAAGGAAGAACAGTCGACACCAGAATACAAGCAAAAACTGAAGTCAAACTATGAGGATCGCGTGTCAGTCGAGATCTGTTTTTGTTGTCCAGGGCGGACTTGCAAGTAATCTCGAGAAAGGCTAAGTAGGAAAAATGCAGAAAAGTAATGCGATCTAATTCCCACGAATAAGAGCATTTCGAAGCGCCTCCAGTGAGTTGAGCGGTGTAATAAGGCCGGACGCGGTTTTACGACTAGAGAAAAGTGGGTGGTTCTCCCACACAAAGGTGCGTCGCATCCTTTGAAGTTGTTCCAAACTATTTCTACTTCGTTGTAATGACCGCTCATGTCTTCAGAAGAACTTATTGACGAGCTTTAGCCTTAATTTAAGGATACGTCAGTGCCAATGTTAAAGGAAGAATGGATAGCTTGCTACAAAGTAGAATGTAACTAAAACAGTTTTCAGTATCAAGGTTTTATTGCTGGTTGAAAAAAGCTCGCCTCCGCTTGAATCTTGAAGTGAAGTGAATTCCTTTGGACAGACCGGCAACTGGGACAGTCTTGGCCTTCATTCGTGATTCCGTTCATTTGACTCTGTGCCCCATGAACGACTCAAACGCGAGTCCCTGTAGAACACCTGGTGTGTAAATGCAAAATAAGAGATCTATTTTATATAAGTTACTCGCCATCTAGTTATGCACAGTCCTCAGAAGCTTCCATTTTGCAGTGCCACACAAGGGTAGCTTCGGCCTCACGGTTTTCTCCGTACCCTACTTGGAGACATTGGACAGCAACACTATTCATGTGAGCTCTTGCTGAAGCAAATTTCGTCACAATGCATCTGTTCCGTATTCGTGCTTCCCTGCACAGTCATAACTTATCTGCCCATCAATAATAGTGAGCATTCGCGTAATATACTTCAACAGACTGATATCAACTAGTATAGTACTCATGAGGGGAGCATAACTCATCGAATAGTAAGTGCCAATGCCAATCAAGAAGACTGCATCGCTGGTTGGATTTGTGAGCATCACACGGGCCATGTGCGACTTTAGGACAGCGGTTCGTTGGATCACCTAGTCGGCCTTAATAGAACCGTCTCCATTTGTCTGAATATGTCCCATGATCTTGCACCACTTCAGTGCAGGTGAAATCAAAGTGAGTCATAATTTTGCTGAACGGCTAACCTGAATAGTACATTTTGAAAAGGTGGAAGTTCTAAGTCAATTGGGATCGCAAATAATACAAATGACGTTTCGATCAGCACATGAGGTAAGCAACGCGGCAAACCTTAGTATGTGTTATATTCACTTGACACACCACCATTCATTTTCAGTTGAATGGCGTCGCCAGCTTTTAAAGACTTTGAGAAGCCACTTTTCCTGAGGCTACACACAGGCAGCGATCTCTATTTGGAGCGAACGTTATTTCTTAACCATTTTCTCCCATTGAGATCGTACGGTAGATAATTAGTAGTCAATTCCTTTCAAGCAGAGGGAACGATGAACCTCAGGAGGATTACGTATGTCATCGGAAGGACAGTTATTCAGAAGGCAAGAACAAAAATAAAATTCAGGAGAATGAATAGCTCTAATATGAGTCACACGTTCACAAATGCTGTACAAACCAACGAATACGTGTGACTGCTAGTCACGCAGTCGGAACCAAAAGCAACGAAACATAGGTGGCGAGCTCATTTAAATTTGACCCTAATCCGTCCACTGCATTCAAACAACGTGCAACCTCAATTAACCTCACTAATCCACTCACACAGATAAGCTAAACATAAACGGATGAATTATGGAAGACTCGAATAACGGTCCTTTTAGTCGGTAGTCCTTTGCTCTAACCAGATTGCCAGGCCATGATCACGAAAGTGGGCCGGTTGGACTGAAAAAGACGGCGCCAATCTCTGCACCACATGTTGGAATGATTTATCATTATCCTATCACACCAAGCATCATCACTAATAGTGACACCAGCTGAGATTACTGGTGCTTCACTGCCGCACATTCATTTCCAGTTGTTTGAATAAAGCCTAATAATGGATCTTCTAAGGGGGACAGGTAGTCTATCACAGGTGCCTATCCGAGGTGCATACAACTCTGGTACTCAGTCGGACAATCTGGATAGAAACTGATAGCATGAACGCCACTGACATCGGTTAGCCGCCATATCACTCAGTGTACCCAGCTAAACACAACGAGGGTCACGTGGGCCAAGTTTAGGAAGGCGAAAAGCACCCAGAGCGCCCATACTTTTCGTAAATTACTACATCCCCTTCTACCAGTCTTTAGGTTTCCCCCACTCTGAGCTAAACACAGCAGACGGTAACTCAACATGAGCAGTAAAAATGAGCCACCTTAGCTTGCAGATTCTAATGCAGTTCTTGAGTGCAGTATGATCTTATTGCAAATTCACTGGCTCTAGCCGATCCCAGCTATGGTTGTGAAGCCCCGATTGTCAAAGATCTGGATATGTCTCAGACCTTCCACACGAAATGGCCGAAGATCGCAGTCGTGGAACAGTACAGCCCACTTTAGTCCGATGGATACTCTCTTTGAGACCCAGCGATATGCCCCTTTGATTCCACGAGTGGCAGAAACTTGTAAAACTAATTCTGGCCTTTGAGATTCGTGTGTTGACCTCGTCTGTCACACCACCGTGAGAGCTGATGCAGCGCTGGAGATATGTAGTGCGTTCCACAACTTCTTATAAATTTTTGAATTCTTAGAGACATGTTCAAAGACTACAAACAGCCCCAACTCGCATTCTGTGGGTACGAAAGACAAGTGGATGGACTCGAAGATCTTGACTGGCTTCCCACCTCTGCTTCAAAAATGATAGCGATATCGTCTGCATACTCCACATAACTAAGGGTCTCCGAACAATGTGAATTTGGACACATCCCAGAGTCCGTCTTATCACAGAATAACCGACTAAATCAAACAAAGGTGGAGAGTGTAAACCATATAACTAAGGGTCTCCGAACACTGAATTTGGACACATCCCAGAGTCCGCCTTATCACAGAATAACCGACAAAATCAAACAAAGGTGGAGAGTGTAAACCACTGCTTGCAGAAGAGCTTTTAAGGGGCTCCTCCCACAAGTATGTGAACAGACACAGCGTATGATATTCACGAACTTCTGCGGCATACCTGTTGCGTGTCATCACCGACGGCGTAATACCAGTGTCCAACAGGGATGCTTCGCTGATGTACCAACATGATTTATTTGAAAGCCTTACTGTGAAAGAATAAAAGTGAACAGGGAAGGAACTTAGTGCAAGCCCACTAACTCGATTTTTAATTCATTAGCTATAAACCGTGCACCATATACACAATGGTCCCAAACACTACAGTTTCGATCACAGGACGGTGGGAGAGTATGGAGGCAGTGGCACGTTCAGTTATTTTGGGAACCTGATAATTACGTATTGGAGGCGATATCTTTGATGCATAAGGGCCAATGAACGTGTGATTGGACCATTTCTGCCAGTATCGTTAAACACAAGTGAGTTGAGTTCTGGGGTCCCCATCCAGTGAGGCGGCAGTTGTCAACTCGACTCAATTTAGTGGTCCGTATTTCCATACTTCATTGCCAGGTCACACATTGTCCACCTCTCGGTAGCTTCCACTCAGCTCACGGCTGAGCGAAAATAGCTCTGAGGGGCAAATGGTCTTCTGGCATGTGGAGTATGTGTTCTAAACAGCGTAACCTATAAGGCGTGAGTGATTCATTTATCGCGGGAGAGGTCCTTCGTCCTAAAATTTTCTACCGTAATTCAGCATTGCTAATCCGATATTCCCACCAGACCTAACCAATGTTTTGGACACACCGGTGGTCAAACACTGACGAATCCCGTATTTTCCTTGCGCGTAGAGGTCAAATCTCTGATCCACAGAGCAGTACAGATCGCACTACTAGTGTAAACTTGGATCATGAAAGACAAACTGACGTCGCGCCTGCGCCACAGGTGTCGGAGGTCGGCAAAAGCGATTCGAGAAGTGATCTCATATTCAACCAGTTCATCCGAATCTATACAATCGTTTAGGCAAATAAATTTACCTATCACGTTGGTTGGCTCGTCTGAAAGCACGAGGTCTGGGTTTAATCTCACCCACTCTCGTAGCAGTACTCTACACTTTGTAGGTGCGAAGCGCACGCCAAGCCGTACTTCATTTGTTTGACCCAACACTGACTAATCTGATGTCACAAACCATACTCGGAAGGCTGATTTGAAAGACATTGTGACTGAAGCGTTAAATAGTGGCTTTTAATACCGAAGTATAACGGTATGCATTCAAGTAATTGCATTTATACGCTGTGAAGTAGCTCCAGTCAATGATCCCGTCGGGTTTTATTGTACCGGTTTTTCTTAGTGAGCGCGAAATTCCGAGTATACATCTCACGGAAACTAAGAACATACATGACGCAGTTCAACAATCTACACTGTTTTCACCGTCAATAATACGGCTGGGTTTTTGCGGCATACCATGGCCTGATAGCTCTGCTCGCAGGCACTGTACACTGAACTGGCAATGTGCTACTAATTTGCGGTCAAGTAGTATGTATTAAGGTAGTAAATGTGGGACTACCTATCACACCCGTCCTCTGACACTGAGTGGAAAAATCTCGTTCGCAATACGTCAAGTATAAGAGTGTATGATTTCATTGTAATGTACAATGCTCGTAAGCAGAACACAAACATAAATATGAGAAAATGCAATTTCTATACACCGGTATCAGCCATCGTGCGCTCAAGCTGTGTTCTGTCTATGGTCAGATTATTGAACTCAGCGTATAATACAGCTTGTTTGAGTAACCGTGTGTGGTGGGCAACGACATCTTCATCACGATTATGGTTAATTTTCGGTAGGTTCGATATGTCCAGATCAAATCCAGGTCCGTAGCGGGAGATTAGGGAATGGTCAGGGATGGTAGAATCCAGCTCCAATCTGTAACGAAATAGGATAGTGACTTTAATCACCAGAGATAACACTTCACCATTGGAAAAATTATCTTTATTTGTCAAGGTCAACCGAAAATAAATCTCTCGCAATAAGTTCCTCACCAGTGGATGTCAAATGTTTAGAGAAATCTACTTCTAAAAATACCGATTGGTCGACGGGACTAAACATGAAATCTTGGGAGAACATAACTGACAAATCCATCCTGAGCCACAAGCATGTGTGCACAGTAGAGGGATCTATTCGCCTACTACGTAGAATGAACACCATCCATGAAACCGTGTACAAGCGAGAGAGAGACGCCAACGTGTAGGAATACGTGCGGGTTTGGTTAAATGCGTTCGTCCCAGTGAGTGCATCAGTGATTTTTCTTCCCAAAACCAAAAGGAATAGGTGTGCGCAGTAAACAGTAGCTCTCCGGTAGCCTAAACAGTTGGAGTTCGAGGACCTTATGCCGAAAAATCACCGAATCTGTTGAATTAGCATCTCTAGATTGTTGAACTTTTTGTGTGGAGCATAAATAGTACGAGGTGGCAGTGAGATAGATATAGAGATTGAAAAACTAAAAGCGAACGATGTACACAAGTAAAACAAGGATAAACAAGAGCCTGTGGGTAAAATTGCGAAGATTGTTTTGCGTCACTGTCAATTGCTTGTTAGAATTAATCCCATCACCCGTATCGGCCAAGTGAACGACCACTGAGTTAGTAATAGAGTTGTTTCATCTGGTTGGGTTGTTCTTCTTCGTCTTGCATAGCTGTCATGCCGTGTGACGTACGTATTCTGCTGGGCGAGATGACTTAGTGGTTAGAGCGCGAATTTACTGAACGGAAGGTCCGTAGTTCGAACCCAACCTCTGTTTCTTGACTCCCCTGTCTATCCTTGGGCAACCTGGCAGTGTTCCAGCCCTCGTGGCATGGGATTTAGGCACCAAAAAACTACAGTAGCTATGTAATCTGCTACACGACACCCCAATTAGCAGTTTGAACACTTAATCGTTTGGTCACGAGGGGCTGGACAACAGTGTGATTAAAGTGCACCCAGACAGGATATAGAGCCACGATTGAAGGCTCTTTAGATGGAAACTCAACCCGTTTTGAGAAATTACTTTTCCCCCAAGCTACCTATGTAGTGTGGGGACATCTGAGAGTTTTCAGTCGAGAATTCGTCCTATAAGTGAATCTATACTGAAAAGTGGAAGAGCACCGTAAACTGCCTCATCCTTAGTGAGATGTGGACTGATGATGAAATAATTGTCCAGGATAGACTGGCTTCACCTACAGGACGAAATCTCAATCAAGAAGCCCCCAAATCACCCCACACTACTAATCAACTGTAGAATGACCTATCGTTCGCCACCTACGTGCTCAGATATACGGTCACACGAAGGAAGAGGCCATCAAAGGTAGAGTGCGTCAGCTTATGTTGCATTTTCGAACCAAAACAAGCAGGAATAACTTGGGAAGTAGTAGACAGCAGATAGAAGACATCAAAAGGAACATTACATCAGACCACTAGTTTCTTCGATTGCTACTGCAGTTAGTCTCGTCCAAAGGCGGGCAGTGTCAGGAAAGTTGTATCCACCTCCTCCAAGGATTAGGGTGGGTACCTTCCATGAAAGGATTCTACGTAAGGCGGTAACATAGCTGCCACCATTATGATTGGGATCAGGTACCTCGGTACCTTCCACTTTGGTCGGTGTGTTACGAGGCAGATAATTCGGATCCAGGTTGGTTAAATTGAACACACGATGCGGATCTCCACACAAACCGTCAGCCCCACACTGAACAACAACAAACGCCGGTTGAACTAAAGCATACAGTAGATTCAGCATCGGCAAAACCGCCTTTGACCAAGTTGGATCATCCACACCGTCCGCTATCAGGAGAGAAGAGAAAGCTGGTCAACCAAATAATGCACTAAAAATGGCAAAAGACATGTATAAGAAACGAAACTAGTTCGGTTGACTCAGGGTCCTGGGGATGGAGATATGATTATTCAGGATAACTTGAAAAAATAACTGTAAACAGTCAACAAAGGTTGGTGAGGATCAAGGAGCGGGGTCAAACCAAAGCAGGTGGTCAAAATAACTCCCAACAACAGGGCTGAAATAAAGCCACATTAGAACATCATATTAAATTTACCAGCATATGGTAAAATGTTAGTTCCAGTTACCATATCTTAGCGGTTGTAATGAACAAGTAGGTCTGAAGACAAGCCTCAGCGCGGGTTCATGAGGTTAGTCACCTCGCGATGAGACTGCTATTTAATACAAAGTAGTCCAAAAGTGCAACGTAACAAATTCTTGATTTAGATGAAATATGAGTACTACTTATACACATGGTGAAATAAAATGAATGTACAGAACTGTAGTTACGTGCTGGAATGCTGACAATTGACCACTGGTCATAACTTGGTGGAGCAAAATAATGGGAATGAAGGTTCAATAAGAGAGTCCAGCGAGAGCTATTCGTAAGAATGGGCCAACAGCCAGCTATTTCCATTAAGAAAGGTGTTGAAACCGGGCGCTAAAGCCCTGCTGAATGGGTGTACAATGTGTAGTTATCACATTTCCATCACTGATTCGTCTGGGTTTACAAGCGGAATTCAGTCGTAAAAATAATTAAAAGTTCCATAAACTTCCTACATCCACAGTTGTGCCTTCCGTAGGGAAGGGAGTCTCATAAAGGATGCTGCGATCTCATCACCACTACACACGAGAATGTTATCCCCATTTCAATTACAGTCGACCTGCACCAGGTACCGATAAAAAGAAACTGGGCAATTGGCAAATGGGCTAGCACAGAAGTAGAGAGATGGATTTTGAGGTCGGTGCCCCACTAGCGACTTCCAAAACGTACGTGAGCAATAACAAAAACAGACTGAAACTAGTCAGTTAAGTCCTGTAAAAATACCAAAATAAGCGTCGACACCAAGTAGGTACCGACTAGAAATAGCTTAAATAAGATGGGTCATGCTCCAAACAGATGAAACCTGGGTTGTGGGACATTATAAGAGAAACACCATCGTTCTTTTTAGCTGTACTGTATCGCTCGGTGCTACAATTCAAACCGCCTACCTGTACTTTCGGGAGCAATCCAAAAGATACCGTCGGTAAAACATAGCCTAATCAGCTTCACCTCCTAGTCAGATTTAGGATGGCTGTTTCAAGCTCACCCGATGGCAACTGAACGAAAATGATTGAAAAGTCATCTAAAAACTATCACTGGGTTTCTTGTGCCCTGTGATCACTCTACATGTACGAGACGATTCATTTTTTGTGAGCGCTGCCAGAAAATCAAACTCAACCTCAACCAACCAAGTTAAGCTTACCCAGTGGCATGTTGAAAGCAGAAAACCGTCCGCGACCAGCTCCATTAGGAAACGTACAATGGCCCTCATCACGTTCAACTGATGTTCCAGTTCCTGGGAAGAAACCCGGGGCTGCATGGTGCACTGAAAAGGTAACCACTCGGGGACTATACCAGAACGCCTCCTCAACGCCGTCGCCATGATGCAGATCCAAATCAATGTAAAGAATTCGGTCTGATAACTGACCGTTGTTGGGAGGTAATCGACGCTTATGCAGGTGGTTTCCTAGAAGTCGATGGATCGCAAGAACAATATCATTCAAATAGCAAAATCCCGAGGCCTCAGTTCGTTTCGCATGGTGCCATCCACCGGCCCAGTTGATTGCGACCTGTAATAACGTCCAGAATAGGTTTAGCCCACCTTTCCAGAGTTTCCGTTCTGTGCACTTAGGTCAACGTTTAGCACAATAATAGTCACTCCCTTACTTTTTTATCGGACTATACATTAGGAGAAAGCTCATGTGCACAGGTTGCATGTCTCCGAGAAAAAGGCATCAGTGTCGTCACAAATCACAATTTGCCGAACGTCAGCACCACCATCAACACATGAGAGTGGTTTGCCAAAAACAAATCCCACTATAGGCAATGTTATTGCGATTCGACGTGCGAGTATTTCATAATGTTGTTGAAATTTTAGCGAAAATGTGGAAATACTGCTGAAGAAAATAAACATGACTGCAAGGAAAAAAGAACTTCGAGAAACAATCAGCAAATGCCAGCGAAGATCGACAGGTCTAATTAAGTTTTACCAAAGCTAGTTACCACTTTATATGCCTGCAACCCGCTAATTGAATGTAGTGAAAATAATCGTTCAGCTGTAACACCCTTTCGGTGCCTAGCTGACACCCGAAGGAAGCACGAGGGCTGTAATACTGCCAGGTTGTCCAAGCCTGGACAGGGGAAGTCGAGAGGCAGAGGTCGGGTTCGACCACAGACCTTCCGGTCAGTAATTTCGCGCTCTAACCCCTGAGCCATCTCGCCCCCCCCCAATTAAATGTACCTGAAAACGGAGGTGTTGGCTCAAAGTTGGCAGTAATCATAAAGACACTTGGTATCCTCTTGCCACTCAATAGGGTGAAGGGAGCAGGGGCTGCGATACTGCTACGCTGCCCAAGCCTGGATAGGGACAATCGACCTGGATACCAGACTCCCCTCCAGTAGCTCGCGTCTCAATACTGTTGCACTTGATAAGGATACCGATTTTCACTGTGTGCTACAAGCTTGGTAACGCCGCACCACCCAAATTACAAACACGGAATTAGGATACGGAAACATAGTATGGTGCATTAGCCATGTTGTGGCATACTGCTATCAACAGGGTGCCATGAGCTAGGATGTCCTAAGATGGTCGGGTTTTGAAAAACGCCCGCAAAACATGGCAACGTGGCACAAACTCACTTGACAGTGGCCTTGCAAGAGCGCCTCGGCCGCAGCAAGACTGCCCGTTACAGCTGCCACCGAATAGTCAAAAACGTGAGGAAACCCCGGGCAATCGTAGGACAGACCAAATGAATCTAGAGAAGGATCATCAGGTTCAATGCCTTTCGATTTGTCTTGGTGCCAAGCTTGGAGACCAGCCAAAGCGTCAAGGTAATCTACACTGAGAAAACGGGAGAATGCGAATGAAAAAGATAAACAGAACAGGGAACTTCACTTCAAAATTGAAGAGCACAGAAGAAAACAGGCCGCCAAGAAATGCAGATGAATATTGGCTCAACAATGGCGGAACACGCAATGGATACGGAACACAAAACAGATTTAGCAAATGTTGAGGCGAGGACTACAATCCACACCACAAAGACAGATGGCCGAGGAGGTGGAAATCGCGAAGGATCCCAGTATCCATAGATAGCGTAGAACTGGCAAGCCTGTGGATCATCCGAGCTGGCACATATGCATGTGCGGCTATCAGAGATCGCTAACACAAGTAGAATAGATTTGAACTGCATTGAATGTCACCAACCTCCCCTCCCCCTCAACTAAATTGTCGTAACATTCACAAGCCAACAAAGAATGAAATCTACTAATGGCACTCGGGGTGAATATTCAAATGAATCACTTTGAAGTGGAATATTAAGGAACCGAACCCGAACGTAACTAATTTGAAATCCATCTAACCAAAGGATTTGGGCTATCACACTAACGAAAAGACCCTTTTATTGACATTCAACACTGATCTAGTGTGTTAATCTGAATAAGTCTTACTGATTGGTTTTCCGACTGCCTCAAGACCTGGGCACCTTGGTGACCTGCTCACTTGGCCCGACGAAGCTTTTGTGTCGAAAGCGAAACGCTGCCTAGTTAAAATCTACTGAATGTTCACCAAGCCCTTTTAAAACGATGACTCCTCAATCGGTTCCTGACCCTCATTGGCATAGAAATAATTCACTATTAAACCGACTAAAATAATGCACTCTTGAAAGGACAAAAAGTGGAGAGAGGCAAAATTTCATGGCTTGAAACAAGCAGCGGTAGTAATTGTAACGGAAAGCATGTTCTAAGTTTTTAGCATCATTTATCATCCATCAGTGATACTGGATTCGGTGAAAGAGAGAATAGACTAACCACAGCCACACCATCCTTTGATATGCACCTTGCAGCTTCAAAGTGCAAATTCATGTTTCAGAACGTTGTTTCTAAACATACGCCCTACAATTCAAGGAGAATCACTGGAGCTTGTGGAGAATTTTAGGTACCTCAGTAGTTACATTAGCTCTGACGGAAATGTCAGTGCAAGAATTAAACATACGCCTACAATTCAAGGAGAATCACTGGAGCTTGTGGAGAATTTTAGGTACCTCAGTAGTTACATTAGCTCTGACGGAAATGTCAGTGCAAGAATCTCGAAGACCCGAACGAAGTTTGCTAATTTATGTCACTTGTGGCGTCAAAATGAAGTATCACTAGATCTCAGGGGTCGCGTGTAAAATAATAAAATAAACTGTTCAGTTGTAACACCCTTTCAGTGCCTAGCTGCCATGCCACCCGTGGGGTTGGGATACTCCCGGATCAACCGAGCCTAGACAGAAGTCGAGATGCAGAGGCCGGATTTGAACCACGGACATTCCAGTCAATAAATTCACGTTCTAACCACCGAGCCAACTTGCGTGTACAAAACTACAGGAAGAACTGTGTTGGTGTATGGCTGCGAGACGTGGCCTCTGCGGATAAATGATGTGAGGATCCTTAGGTTTTGACCAATGATGACTCAGAAGCGTTGATGTTATTGGACAGCGTCAACGGATTAGCAAAGAGGTGATTAGAAAACAGTATTTAATTGTGCAGCAGGAAACATCCAGCACCATCGGCCACGATGGCTCGGTTAGGTCATTGTTGAACGCGGGTGAGAAGTGAAAGTAAGACTGCGCCCGATTGTGTTCTATGCGGTCCGAGGACATTCGGGGAATCTGTTTGATGACTAGGACATACGACAATGGCCCAAGTGGTTAGAGCGCGAATTTACTGACCGGAAGGTCCGTGGTTCGAACCCGCCCCCCGCCACTCGACTTCCCCTGTCTAGGCTTGGGCAACCTGACAGTATCCCAGCCCTCGTGCTTCCTTCGGGTGGCATGGCAGCTAGGCACCGGAAGGGTCCTACAGCTGAACGCCTTCTCTCTTTTTCTTTCTACATACGACAATGCAGAGACATGCTATTGTTATCCCGTCTAATTCGAACGCGCTGGAGAGTTACAGTGCAGCGTCCTTATTAAGACTGTTCGGGTTGCGCACAATTTAGGGTTCCACCTAAATAAACAAACCATAAAAGTTGGTAAGCTATGGAGCATTGTACAAGGAGGGTTTTGCAAATAGGAATAGTCGGAGGGTACACGTTGTATTCAGAAACCAGCGGAACTTACGAATGAAACACACCGATCTCTCGATAAACTTCTTGACTTGAAGATAGCACCAAAGGAGAAATGCGAACGAGGTGACGCACCAGACCATATGCATTGATTAGATCCATTACCATGGTGTATCTATCCAAGAATTTCGGAGAATATGAGACTAAGTGTCGATACTCGTCGGAAAATACAATTCCAACGTGGAATGCAGCCGAGACCACACCGTCCATCGCCGGTCAAAGCATACGGAGGGAAAACTGTACAGGTCTTTCAAAATAATCTAACGGTGATAACGCCCGATGGAACGAGGAAGGGTTCACTCAGATGCATCTATGCTGTTCTGGTTATCCGACGGCAAAATAAAGCGGAACTCATAGATATTTCACCCCCATCGAACTAGAATAGGAAGTACAAGATTACCGGTAAAAAAGTTGAACAACCCTCTAAAAAAGCGAGTAAACCAACGGCGAGTTAGGTGGACGACTAAATCAAGTACATCAGTAGCAAGTTATACATACCAAAGATGCGGTTGAAGAGGACTAGAACGTGTATGTTTCGAATAACAAAAACACAAAACCAAATCCAGTGTTTTCAGATGAAGCGGCAAGTGTAATAAACAAGGTACTTGCTTGGACAGTTGCATTACACATGGTATCGTCTGGATGTAACACCCTTTCGGTGCCTAGGTGCCATGCCATCCGAAAGAAGCACGACGGCTGAGATACTACCAGGTTGCCCAAGACTAGATAGAAGTCAAGATGCAGAAATCGGGTTCGAACCACGGATCTTTGGTCATTAAATTCGCGCTCCAATCACTGAGCCATGTCGCCCCACTACACATGGTGACCTGAAACAAAAAGAAGTCACACCTCTACGGCCCTGATGATACCAGCTTGTCTGTCGACCGATGTGTAATGATGCAGTATACTCCAATCGGCCTCCATCACTGAGCCATGTCGCCCCACTACACATGGTGACCTGAAACAAAAAGAAGTCACACCTCTACGGCCCTGATGATACCAGCTTGTCTGTCGACCGATGTGTAATGATGCAGTATACTCCATAGTCACGGGGTTGGAAACATTGTCCATTGCTAGCAGTCTCTCCAGAATCTGATCCAGAACATTGCTCGTGAATAAAAGCACCGAACAAATGGTGTCGTGACGAGTCGGATGTTTTCTAGGAGGAAGAACTAGCATATTACCGATGAGCTTATGGGGCTTTATAGGGAGCAGTCCTTTAGTCACTTGTCTCCAATACAGGGAACCTGTGGCGTCACAGTCGTTCGGCATTTTTCTGAGACACAGTCGCGGCACTGCTGTCATGCAAGCTAACGCAGAAAGCACACGTTAAGGAACTGTTAAATTGTCCAAGCCTAAAATGAATTAATCACAAAGTTCGGGGTGGATTCAGCCCACCGAGCTTTCGCGTCTTCATCCCTGACCTTCCTCGAGCTGTCTAAAAACTACCTGAAGAGATCGGCATCAGAAAAAGGTGCCAACTCCAAACTCGATGAAACCAGTAACTGTCTTCTCTCTGGATTTGATTACCTCCGTAGTTGGAGGAGGTTTGTACACAGTAATTAACATTGTCAATGGTAAGTAGGAATTCGACTTATCATCTTTGATGCAGAGCTACTCTTTTCCACACCACACCCTGGGCATACACGCTATCTTAACTAGATTCACATGTAGTAATCCATAGTAATCTTACCTTAGCGATTCGTGAACATAGGTATAGCGGCCAAAACTACCACGAAACTTGTAGAATCAATTAAAACGGCCTGGACAAAGCTATGACTGTGCAGACATTGGCGAGGTGACGGTAGCAGAACCAATGGAGTACAGAAGAGATAGTGGCGAAGGCTTTTCGAAGCAGAGAAAAGTCGATGCTCGGGGAAGAAGCTGTCTTGTGTTGCGAGGCTCTATAAATATCAAGGTTGGAGAACTCGGGGTGGTCTTCGCGAACTGAACATGTCTTGCTGTATTTTGTGTACTCTTGTGCACAAGGTGACTCAGTCACTTATTTTTCAGCAACTAAGTAAATAAGACTTAACTGGTCTCGTGCAGTTCAGTTTACCACTTTTAAACCATGTACCAAGGGCACGTTGGTCTAAAGCGGAGAGTATATAAGCTAAATTAGCTTCTTCAAGAAAAGCTGTTTTTCGGAAGTATTGTGCCAGGGACTGTCATTGTACTGGCTCCGTCACGAAGAGACTGGACCTTACCGTGGTGTGACGGTTTGCGCACCTCAGCGATCCATTGAGTTATACTGGAGAGTGTCCCGCGACACTCACAGAGTCTCTCATACCAGGTTGGTCAATGGTTA